GGTGCTACGGCCTATAGAATTAAACAGTTAGACAGTACCTAATGCCTCAGAGGCAATCACGGCTTAAGTCCGTCTGTCAGTGGTTAGTAAACCGTTAGTTTGGAGGTTTTTTTTATAATTCCGCTGTATATACAGCTCGGATGTGCGGCTATTGCAGCACAGAGTGACTGCAATACAATCCCGGTGATGCCAGCTGCTGCAAGAGGTTGGAGTAAGAGTCCCCCAATTCCTCTCGTCAGCGCTTGGTGCGGATGCAATATGGCCGCATCCATGGTATTCTCCAGAATCCGTTGTGTTATAGACGTTTCTGCGGACCTATGGGCGTAGGTGCAGCATGAATCTATTTACTCCCGTTGCATGTCAAAACACGAGGGGGATGCATCCTCGGAAGAAGACCTTCAAGTCTTGTGAAACTTAACATGTAACGAGCCTATCTAGCATTGGTTCTCGTAGCGATATCTAAATACAGTAACAGAGGTTAGAAGTTAGCTCAAAATATGGGCCTTGGGTAGTACACTGTGTTCAGATTGAATTCGTACCCCCTATAGGAGCGCTTCCATCGATTGCAGGTAGTGACATCTTACACATGGGTGGTTTTGTCTATCGCCTGCTGAGGCGAAACCTCTGGAAATGTGTGTTTCCTTCAATCACCACTATAGGGGGATGGTACGAATTCAATCCGGAAACAGTGTAAACTTGGCTTTGTCTCCGTCAACAATCTTGCATCAAGCTGGAGATCGTGTATAATTCTGTCTTGAGCAAGAAGTTGCATTGCATATATGGTAGTTTTTCTTCATAGTTCAAGACTTTAAAACAAAAAATGTGGTTACCCCTTTTTCTTTACTTCTTTGATGGAATTTATGTATTGATGCCCTTTTGGCATAGCCTTCAGGCAACTGAAATGCACTTCCATTTGCATTTTTCAGGAAAACCAAATGAAAGAAATATTTAGCTCTTTACCCATCTTGGACTGCCTACTCACATCAGTTTAAGTGCAAATTTTTTTGGATCCCTACCCCCTTTAATCAATATTTTATGTTTCCTTTCTTGTTCTCTTATTTTTTTCCATGAAGGGTTTTTCCTCTGGATTTCTTCTTCTGACTTTCTCCTAATGTATTTTTAAGTCTCTATTTAGAGGGAATAGTATATATTTTCAAATATGAGTTGGTTTTGCATGATGTGTAAGCAGACTGAGATAGCATTGTTGTTAGAGCTTTTTTTAAAGTGCTTGTTTCCAGGGAATAGGCCATTCAACCAGGACAATCCTGCTTCTGCTTGGCAGTAGATGGATGATAAATGCTTCATGAGCATCATATCCACTTCAATAGAATATTACAGGTTACTTTCTGGTAATATAGATGGGAACCTTGCCTAGCTAGTGCAATTTACACTGTTAGTGGTTGTAGGGGGAATGAAGCTGTGGCTGCATTTACAGGCTGCTGCTAAGGTAGCTATTATCAGGAGATATAGAAAATGTGGGTAGTGCAAGTACAATGGACAACAGCAATTAAAAATTCTTTATTGACAATAAGTCAACAGGGTGTGGGTGAAAGGATGAAATCAGGTGAAACTATGAAGATATGACTTGTACCCTTTACCTCCTGAGCTAGGGACAAACATTCTGTGGTGTTGATGCTACTGAGAGAGTAACATGAAAATAAACAATCATGATCAGACAAAACAACCAGAATAAAAGACACCTCTGGATGCTCTGATTCTCTTTTTCTTCTACAACTTGCCACCCTTCAAGATGTGATGTTCATTAGGTGCTTGAGTCCACATCAAAATTGGATTGTGAATCATAGACTTTGCTTGATCTCTTCCAAATTTTGCCAGCATCACACCTGCACTGAGGATGAATTACAGGACTTCCCCATTTAAATTTTGTTCTCATGTGATCACTGTAGTCCAAGATAATTCCTCCATACTGATGATATTACACCAGTCAACCTAACTGATAGGATTGCCAGTGCTACAGATGAAACTATTACCCAGTAAAGTGAATATTGTTAGGTCCATTGAATAACTTTCCACAATGTTCTAAGGTGAAATTTGGGCAACAATTGGCAAAAAGCATAATGGCATTGATGTGAGATTAAATGCTAATCTGCAAAATGTAGCCAACCATCATGTTTCATTAGTATAAACATTATCTTGAGCATGGCTCAGGCCCACTGGTAGTGTTGACATTTCAGTATCAATCAGGAAGGCCTAACACAGGTATGAGGTGTGCTGGTAAAAAAATGTCCAGATTGGTATAATGGAAAAAAAGTTAGCTGTATTGCCCCAGTACAGTGATATTGTATCAGTTTATCACATTGCATTATTCTATTGACAAAAGAAGATGGTCAATCATATTGCTTGTGCATTTTCTTCAAATGGTTCTTATTAAGAATATGGAGCCTTGAACAAGCAAAGTTTTGGTTGTAGTTGTGAATGTTGGAAACTGGCTTTAGGCTAAGCTGCTTTCAATTGAAATGCATTTTAGTTTGTTGGAAAAATGACTTTGGCTGAATGCCAATGAGGGACTGGGAATGGCCCACTGACTGGTGGTTGGGAAGCACTGGTTGATGGTACATAGACTTGGTAGGAAGCAGTTAGATATTTGAATTATGAGAAAAAGACATTGAAACCAGAAGAGAAATGCATTTGTATGCAAGTAATGTTTTCAGTGGCTCTCAGTTATTGGCTATTCATTTCCTTTTCAAGGTCATATGACCCTTTCTCATCCAATGTTGTACCTATTATGCACTCTTAACCTCCTTGGCGTTTCACTTTCCTGCTTAATTTCACTCAAAAAAAGAGCTTTTTTTTTTGCTGCATGAGGTATTTATATTTAAGCTTTTCTTTTTGTATACTCCTGCTGAAAATCCACACATTTATTATGCATCTATTATTTAGTGCCTTACATGTAGCACATATAGACAATACAACAGGTCAGAAATCAAATTCATACTTTTCAGAAATTACCCTGAGATAGGCTCAGGCCAAATGCCAAGAGGGTTAAAGGAATTTGACTGTTATATGAATCAGGGTCTGCTGTTAATCAATCCTTAGGCTCTACATGAAATATGAAAGTCTGCATATGAAAGCATGCTGGAAGAAATGATCAGGTCTATCTGGTTCAAATTTAAGGAGTTAGTCATCTGGTTTCTCAGGAAACACCTCCAGTGCAAGTTTCCTATTAAAATGAAATCATATCCTATCAAATCCCACTATATTGTACAGATGTGAAAGTTTAAAAAAGTGGCACTGATCTTCCTTCCTCCGCTTTGTGGTAGAATGATCATAAGAATGTTAAGCATTTTCCAACATAATCCATGCATTTCTCTCTTAGGCATGAAATCAGGTTATATGTATCAAAATGAGTGATGGATCTGGAGCGGAAAAGAAAGGGATTGGGTCTGTTGGATGATGGAACAGGAGATGATGATGCAGAGAACCGAGATCGATCTATCACACCTCTTTCAGCAGTATCATTTACTAGTACAGCATCAAGCTCAAAGCGACTCCTGGAATGGGACTCAGGTGCAGATTTGGGCTATGCTCCTGCTTCTACTGGGGCTACTGCACAACAGATGTCCACATTGGAGAAGATTGTGCTTGGGACTTCAGCGCAGCTGATTCGAGAGGAGCCTGAAGGTGGTCCTATGGAAGTGGAGCAAATGATTCGGCAGCAACAGGCACGATCACAGCGAGTTATTTCGAAAAAAAAAGCCCTGTCATTGGGACATTTAGATCAGCAGATGTCTGGAGCTCAGGAACAGTGTCTACGCAGTGTGAGCCAAGGTGATGTGCTGGCTCAGGAGTTTGTGCAGTTGAAGAAAGATGTGTCATTAGGAAGTTTCATCAGCTCATCATCATCTGCTACAATTATTGCACCTCAGTCTCCTCTCCATCTCCATAGTCCCCCTTTGTCTGTGTCAGAGAAGGTGGAAGAGAAACAGACAGATGAGAGCTTGCCTTGTGATGATATGCTCCAATACATCAGTCCAAAAAGGAGGCAAGGTTCAGTAGAGAATGATGAGATTATTGAAGAGGAGGATATCTTTATTGAGGTGTCTGTACCTGCTTCTCTGGAAACAGATCTTGCCCCTCCTCTTCCTCCTGGCCCTCCTCCTAAACAAGGTAAGAACATAAGCATTCAGGATGACCAGTATGTAAAGTAGTTGAAGGTTAACAAATGTGCATATTGATATTCAGAGTGTGGTAGTGGATCTCAAGAGATGAATTCCAGGCAGATGCCCTCTTCAGGAATAAGGCCTTTGCCTCAATATGCTCCTGCATGGTGGTGGATGCAATCAGGTTCTGACCCCCAGCCTCATCTTATTACTTTTCCTATAGGTTTGTATTCAAGTGATCATTTGTACAAATAATAAGGTATAAGGTATGAAAAAAAAAACAGTGACAGATTCTCATTTTTTTTGCTTGAGTTTGGTTTTTGGAACTGGGAAATGAAATTTTCTGTAAAACTGAAAAATATGGAGAAGGTGACATATGCGCTGACAAACTGGTCAGTGCAAATATGGCTTGGTAGGCAAAGCTGTGATAACCAAACAACTGTGCAATTATGAAGCTGCTGGTAGGATAGACACCAAGGGCTTACTTCAATCCAAAGGGAAATGCTCTATTTCGATGATATGCTTCCCTGAACTTTTATTCACCCACAGTTTGGATTTATTAGCAGTTAATAAGGCATAAATTCAAAACTAGATGTCACTCTTTTTAATTGAGAAGGAAAGAGGATGATGATGGGAGGGAAGGTGAGAAAAAGATTTCCATGCTTAGTTTCAGAAGATGAAATCAAAATTGTGCATCACTATTCTACTTTAAATTTATGAATAAAAAATGAATGCTGTCAGACAATTCTTTACAAGTAAGTTCTGAGTACCAGAATAATTTAGGTTTGGATGGAAGATGAAATTCAAAGTAATTAACATGCATCATAAGATAAATAGTGTACTTTTTTCTAACTTTTAATGAAGGTAAGCAGCTTTTCCATCAACATTCAAGTGTTCTTTCCCAGCATTTATAATGCTCATCATTATACCTATTTGAGATGACATAAGTAATGAAAACTTGAGAATGTGATTTATATATGCTAGAGGTATTTGAATTCAGAGGAGAATATTTTATAGTGGGTGCCAAGAAACCTTTTGCTAGGCATCTATAGCCAGAAGTATGCATCTGGTTTCCTCACTCTCGCCAAGAAAGCTGGCCATGATCATTTCATTCAGGTCACCTAAGAAGCAAAAAAAAAACCAATGTTTAGAATGATGCTAAGAACACAGGCCAGTTGCTTACTTCTGGCTATAGACCCCTAGCAAAAGATTTCTTGTCCCTGGTACATAAGCCTACTTCTGTTGGCTTCAAACATCTTTGTTATATCTTTTGGTGTATAGTATTTTGATTGCAGTATGTGGTTATATTTAACACTGGATAGTTGACCTAGCACAATGAAAAATGTATTGCAAGGAACTACTTAATTGTGAAATTAATGTGTTCCTTTAGAGCAGTGGATCTCAACCCCCCCATGACCCAAATCAGTGTTGTGGGTTGTCCTCAGTTGGGTCGTGAAGGGTCATCAGAATAAAAAAATATTTTTTTGCAAAATGCATCATATTTCAGTATGAAGATATTTATATACATTTTATTTAAATTTTATCTGAAGCCTAAGGGTAGGGAAGTCCTGTTGGTGGCCAATTTATTGTCGCAGCAATAAAAGGTTGGGAACCACTGCTTTAGAGCAGTGTTTCCCAAACTGTGTGCCGTGGCGCACTGGTGTGCCACCAGTAAGGCTTAGGTGTGCCGTGAGATTTGAGAGTTTACAAAAAAAAACTTTTAAAACTTAAAAGCAAGAGGGAACGCCATATCTCAGTGGAAAACGAACGAGTTGCACTATCACGGCTTGTATCAAACTGCTGTGTTCAGCAAAGCAAGCGCAAGTTTCCCATTGAAAGTAAGTAAATGGCTAGGTGTGCCGTGGAAAGTTCAAGTGTCCTGATGTGTGCCGCAAAGAAAAAAAGATTGGGAACCACTGCTTTAGAGGCTAAAGCATAGAATTGAGAAGTTGATTAACCTTTACATGCCAAACATTTCCATATTCAAAGAGGGCATGTAAATGGAAAAACACAATTTTTGCCATATTCGAAGAGCATGGAATCTTCCTTTCCACACCTTGGAAAGGAAGATTCCTTGCTGTTCAAGTATGGAAACATTTGGCATTTAAAGGGTTATCTGGGAAATATATATATTTTTAGCATTTATGGATGTTATGTTGATGACCTACCAAGTGAGTGATTTTAATGTTCATCACCAACTGACAAGTTACATGGCAAGTTGTTATATTAAATTTCGGATTGCAGGTCCTTCGCAAACATTGATTACAGATCGAGTGAGTTTTCAGCGATTGACAATGGAGAGACGAACAGCTGTCCAAAAGATCCTAGAAGATCTGGCTCGCTTGGATGAGTGGGAAAGGTCAGTAGGGCCTACTTATAGCATCAATGTCTAAACAAATGCAATTGGTGGCATAGTAGTAATGTTTGTTACTCTTTAGGCCTATGTAGTGTGCTAGGAATGAGATGAAGTTCAATTGAGTTATGGAAGTATTGAATGTCTATATTAAAGTGGTGAAGACATTCAACTGACTGAGAAGTTAATTTTTTACTTGGTTGCTTTTTGAAGGCTACTCCTGTCATATGAAAGTAGTGAGAACCACTCGGGAAGCTTGGGACACGAGCCACACTTGCGTTCAAGTGATGATCGCTTGGCAACAGAAGGTCGATCCTTCAGCGGATCAGATGCCCGGGCCCAAGGATACCAAAGAGGGGTGACAATGGGTCAGTCTGACACAACATCTCAACAAGTCATGGGTGGACCATCCTCACACCAAAGTGCATCCACGAGTGACTGTCCAGATGTGGAACATTCAGATGCATCTTGCAGCACTGCTGTTTCCAGTTTCTACTTCACCACTCGAGCACCAAGGGAAGGAAGGTCATTGAAGCGGCACTCTCGTCAGCGCAGCTCGCGCTGGGAGGCAAGTGAGTCCTCTGCTTCCACCCCCTCTACATCTGGTTCTCAAGCTCATCCACGTAGAACAAGGAAGTCTAGTGCCAGCTGCGTTCTGTGTGGCCATCACATCAAGAGGACATCCACTCCATTGATATGTGTGTCTAATGTGTCTCATGGTACCTCCACTCCCCTGGATGCATCCAGCACAGTGTCATCAAACGGGGCTGAGATCCCCACTGCTCGCCAAGGCTGTCCAATGCCAAAAAGAGGCTCAAGACCTCAGACAGCTGAAATTGGAATGGTGAGTGCAATCCATGAACTGCCGCAACAGAGGGCTAGAGCAGGTAGTATGGGAGACCTTGCAGGAAAGAGACAATCTAGTGAGGACCATGCAACTAGAACCAATGCATTGATGGAAGAGATTCGGAATTCCCTTGCTTTGTTGAATGTCAAGTCAAAGAGAAACTTTGGCCAGACCTACCCTTCTCCACATGGCACCAACTCAAAAGATAAGGTAGCAAAGAAAAAAAATGTCAGCATCCAGACCATGGACACAATATCAGAAGCAGAACCAAAGAAGAAGAATGTGAGTACAATGATGGGACCAGATGCAATGCATAAGACAGAGTCTCATAAGAAGCCCTTAAATGCACATTTATTAAGTGCTCGGCACAAGGGGAAGAGGAGGATGGAATCAGGGAGGCAGGATGCAAAAGATGGGAAACCGGTGGCATTCTTCATTCCATGGAATCATGCTCCAGTCCACCGACTTCAGAGACTCAAGGATGGAGATTTGAAGCCTTTGCAGCAAGTTCCCAAACTTCAGGTTTGTTTTTGAATGAGCATGTGAGGCATCCCTTCTAAATGGTTGATTTTAAACTGGAACTGGATAATCTAAGGGAAAAAAATCAAACTTTAAGAAATTTTGCAATGGGTTGCAGGAGGCCCTGAGGGCAAGGAAAGCAGGTTACATCCAGCAAGTGAGGCAGAGGCAGGAGCAACTCGTGGTCAGAGCATACATGCGAGAGAAGGCAGCTGCACGACGAAGACGCAAACTCTTCCGCTTTCCTTCAGAACAGGATAGGCAGGAAGAAGAAGATAATGACTCTGGACTTGGTTTGCTTTGAGCACATCTCCTTCCTGTTTTCTCTTTCATAGTGAATGGTCTTCGAATTTCTCCATTTCTCACCTTACAGAAGTGCAAGTATCCCCTCCAATCTCATATCGGGAGATGCGCAGGGAAGCAGCCCGCAAGCATAATGCCCTTCCGGAATCAAAAGCAAAGATCCTAACTCAAAGGAGGAACCGGGAGAGGGCCATGAATCGCATTGTGGCTCATGTTTATAAGGAGGTCAGAATGCTGTTTTGTATTTCCCTTGATTTTTTTTGCTTGTAGCAGCACTTGTACACGCAGCAAAACAGTACACCAGTGGATCACTGGTGTACTGTGCTGATGTGAACATGCCAATGGAAACATTATCATGTTGGGGAGGGTGACATATTCAATGTGAGAATATGTAACTCTTTGGTCTCCACACCAGTGAGTTTCTTCTGTTGATTTTCCCTGCAAGTTAACTCTCAAATAAAATTCTTTGGGTGAGGATGCCTTTAAAAATTTTTTTTGCCAGATTCATTGTTAAGTAATCTGTAGGACATCTTTCAGAGCTTTCTTCCAAAAAATTATCTCTTGAATTATTCTCTCAATGTCATGGGAAAAACTTTTATGGTGTGGTCAAGGCCTTATGTAGAACATCAAGGTAATCAGTGAAAGATATTTTGAAGTATTTATCCAAAAAATTGAAGCTGGTATATCATGCTTGCTTCATATTTCCATTTATATTTTAACCCTTTACTTGATGAGTTTAGGTAGCTGAGTTCTGAGAGTTTTCAGTGTGCTCCCTGTTGTGATATAAAACATATTCTGAGGGCATATTTTCTTACAGATATTTGTTTTTTTTGCTGCAATTTATTTGTCTACCTTTTGGTGTAAAACTGGCATAATGATATGTATTTATCAGCTTCGAAGAATCATTGACATTTCCTCTTTGGAAATTGAGCTGAGGCCTGTTTCTTGCCTTTGCCAAACTTTATCTTAATCTAAAGCTGAATTTAATCTAAACTTATTCTAAATCTAATCTAAGCTAAATCTAATCTAAAAATAGTCATTCAGCACTGAGGACAGCTGAGTCCCTTGGCTGCTTTTTTTTTTTACAATGCTTTCAGGTTAAGTTTAAATTCAGAATAAGTTCAGCAGGGTCAGAGAACAGACCCCTGGACTCATTCTGAGTACTTTCATCACCACTTTCTTCACTCTTCTGAACAATATCTTCATTGCCACCATCAAAATTGAGCACATATCATTCAATTTCTTGCTGCCACAAAATGCTTGTGACATTATGAGTGCCATTTCTACAGAATATTTCATGTTGACACGAAAGAAAATTCATATTATTATTCTATTTTAGAGCCCTGAAACCTCTAAGTTGTTCTATGGTTTATCAACCGATGGTAGAACACATTGCATTAATTTTTGTATGCAGAAAGCTTGCTAAATACTGAAAAGAAAAAGTGAGAGACTCAAATCATGTTTATGCAGTCATTGTAGTGAAGTCACTACAGTAGACCATTTTGTGTAGAAATAACAGTTACGGGTGAGAAAGACTATGAGAGTGATTATTCCTTTGTATTGACAGAAGCTGCTTCATGCTGTCCTGAAGGGAAAGACAACCCTGACTCATGAAGACCAGGTCATTTGATGAATTGCTTGATTGATCAATACCAGATCAGAAGTACAAGCAAACCAAAAGTACAAGCATTCATGGCCTTTCATGTACTGTATTTCTTACCTATTTTGTATACTTTGTATTTTAAGATGTGTAGTTTTTATGTCTTTCTTTGTAAGATTCCATGAATTTGACTGTTTTCTTTCCTTTTCCTTGGTATTTGCAGGGTGTTTGTGAGGTACTGTAAAACCTGTTATTCATTGGGACATGATTTTGTGGCTTTTGGAAAGTTGACTGGTTTACATGATTAGTATTTGTATTCATGCCATTTCTTTCGTTACTTCAGGCCTGCTACCCTCCTGTTTGCCACATAACCATTAAAGGAAGACTGTGCTTCTATTTTGGACTGCCATTTTCACAGCATGCCATCACTTTAATATACGAGTGTTGCAAACGTCCTGACCCATAAAAATGTATTTTGCAGAAGCAAATGTTCAAACTGGTGGCCCTCACTGATTTTGTATATGTAAATGTAGTGGCAAATACTCTCACGCACACATGTGAAGGTCACTTTTGTAATTGCTGCACAAGCAGTATGGATATTCTCTTGAATGGTACGGAGACATATGGGTGAGGTCTTTTGCACTACACTGTATTATTGTGCTCCTTAGTCAGACTTCGAGACCTCTTTTGTTGAGCTCTTGTATCTTGGTGAGGGTAGAGATGGCTTTCATGAACCAGAGGGCATGAAGGAGCACAAATGTAATGGCATGCTGGCATTTGCTTTTGGGCTGACATTTAATTTGAAATTGCAATTATTTTGAACTGCAAATTTTTCAAAAGTGAAATCCATGAAAATAGGGATTTACAGTAACTGTTAAACTGTGGAACAGGTGAAGGGAGACTTATTTTATTCAACTCTTCTCTTTGAAATATTTTGGAATACCCAAGTGGACTTGGACATCTTGTTTCTGTTGAATGAGTATTGAAAAATATATATCTAAAAACTCAATGTAACCAGCATTTCCGAGTACAGGTGACCATGTGCTCCTAAGTTTGGCATCTGCAACAGGTATCAATGCACATTCTTTCTTTGAGTTTTTCAAAGAATTTTTAATAGTGTACATTTCAATCCCAAGGAACTATCCTAAGATGATCCTAAAGGAACTCATTGTGAAAAGGCCAGTCAAAGGGCATTGTTAAAATATGGTTTACTCTGTGTTGCCCTGCTTGACATGTCAAAACCAAGCTTGGGATGAAGGTGTATAATAAAAATAAATCTGGGACAGTAGTTAAATTGATTCATGACGCTTCCTTCATCTTTTCTGCAGATTTCTTTAAAAATGAAAGTAAATAGGTTATCTCAAGGTCAAGCACCCTGCAAATGCTTCTGCACCAAAGACTGGGATGTGAATGTTGACATTGATTGTGTGTTTGGATAAAGTTCTCATGTGCATATTGATGGTGCACAAAACTCTAAAAATAATGTCATTTGACTTATGGTTTAATAATAAGAATGGCAGTGGTGGGAGACAGATATAAGTCTTGTCTTGTGACCACTTGGTGCTTTGTAGCACTCATGCCCTTCATAAAACTCCATCAAGTCACTGTCCTGAGATATTGAGGCTCAGGTAGTCTAGGAAATGTTTGATGCACCTTTTATAGACTTGAACATTAGGATTCTTTGAAAGTTTATTGAACCAGGAGAAAGGGACTGGTGAGATAAACACTTGGAGATGAGCTTGAGTTGATGAGAGGATCAATGAGAAGCCTTAGTCTAGGAATAGAATTAGGAAGGAGGGTTTTTTCCTCCACTCGCACTCTCTTCCTCTTCCATCGTCATCCTCTCAGATCCAGTGAGTCTCACCTCCTTACATCCTCACTTTACCTCTTGGAATTCCTAACATATTTATTTCATTTCATGTAGAGAGGGTGTACCATGGTGTTGTCATTGTGGTGAAGGGGGAGCGATTTGTATGTTCCTCTTCGGTGCTGTGGAGAGGACATGATGACTCGGAGCAGGCAGGATCAGGCTCCCACCGGGGCCGAGGGATCGGGAGACGACAGGGTCAGGGAGGTTCAGGCCAGGACCGAGGCAGTTCTGGTGGGACCCATTTCATCTGTCCAAAGTGTGGTGACCCTTGCACTCAAGTTGAGACCTTTGTCTGTAAGTCTTCAGGGAATGGAATGTTTCGATTCTTGAGATTTCTCTTCTGGCTTCTCTGTGAACTTGTGCTTTTTAACTCTTGTTGGTTTCTCCAGCCTCAACCAGGTTTGTGAAATGTGAGAACTGCCACCACTTCTTTGTCGTCTTGTCAGACGTAGATGCCAAGAAGGGACTGCGTGAGAAGAATGGAGCAATAGATCCTTCTCTCTCTCAAAAGCCCCCTCCTCCACCCCGCAAGGTCTGCACTTTTTCTTGTTATTGATTGACTGTGCAGGGTTGGAAAATGTATTAACAAACAAATGGCAGATATACGAGTACTTGGACAAGTATGTGGTGGGTCAGGAGCATGCCAAAAAGGTGTTATCTGTGGCAGTGTACAATCACTACAAGCGGATTTACAACAACCTCCCCAAAGGTTCTGCCAATGTGGGAGGAAATGCAACAGAGCAACAGATGGATCACTCCCAACAGCCCTTCATCCACCGAGGTTAAACTTTTCTTTTGTTATTTTGCAGTTTCATCCATTTCCATTCATAGGGGTAAAACCCTTATAGGAAATGGAAGGTTCCCGTCATTCATTCAGAGTGGTACTTAGTGCTGCAGAAAGTAAGTTAGTGAAAGTAAATTTGGCAAAATTAGTATCAGAACAGGTACATCTACCTTGCTTAGAGTGGGATGCACTGAGGGTGTTAGTGATGGGAGATAAAGCAGAGAATAGTAGCCTCTAGGGATACCAGGAGAGAAAAGCTGGAGAAACTTGTTGGAATGGCCTAAACTTCATTCAAGTTTAAGCTATGGTAAAATGGGTGGTTTTCGCACGATGTGGGGGATTTCACGGAATGCTCATTTCTTGCATGTCCCCCAACGAGAGGCCTATAGTTGACAACAAAGCTATATCCAATGAGGACACAGGAGAGTCCAAGTACGCGCACGTGAAACTTCCACCTGCTTACGCTCACGCCTGTCATGGGCAGGGCAGGGCGACAGGCTACTTCCGTTCCTTAAGATACGACCCGTTTCGCAGGAAAATTGAGATTGCTTTGAAACCTGGCATGCATATTTCTATAAGGGATAGAGTAGTGCCCTCATAGAATAATGTTTAAGGAGAACGTGACTTCAAAATAAACTAAACAAACACTTATTTCATCTGGTCCTTGTAGAAGAAAGGTGGTGCGCGAAAAACCCCTACAGAAAAATCTTTTTTTGCTATTTTCGCGACCATGCGCGAAAACCAAATGTTCATATATGGGGATTTCGCGCTGTTGAAGAATACTATCTTCAATTCTTGTTACAGCACAATACATATATCATTATTTGCAAATAGAAGTGACAAAATAAACAAAATTTCAGCATTTTTTTGTTACATATCTGAAAAATATTCATTTTCTTTATTTCCTCTCAAATGTACAGCTCAATTATGGAAAGAATGGTTATCCAACCACAATAAAAGTTCTATTCCTATGTAACCTTGAGAAAAAAAGTTGCTAGTAGTAATACGCATTAACCCATTGATGAATGACAAAAGTAAAGATTTCCCAGCCCACAGTCGTTTAACTGGCAAGAATAAAGGAGCAAAGTTGACAGAAGTGCCTCAAAGAACAGAGGAAAGGTGACGGAGAAACTATCTCAAGGCAGAACAATGCAAAGAGGAGACCATAAGTCTGAAAGGGTAAAAATGGAGAGAGGAAGAAGGTGGAACGACGTTCTCATGGAATGTACCGAACATTCCTTCCTTTGGAAGACATGCAGCATGCAATTGAAGCAGCAGTTTCAGGAATGACACAGTAGGAAGCAGCTGAGACATCAAGTGTTCCGGAATTTACGCTTAGAGACCGTATCTCAGGCCGTGTTGAGCCAGACATAATTTCTTCTGGTCCAGAGCTGTGGCTGGGAAAGGATCTTGAGAATAGAATTGCGGATTACATAAATCCAAAGCAAATTTTCTCTATCAACAGGGAAATGCTTCAAAAGAGGGTACATAAGTACCTCTAAGCAAAATACCCTCATGGAAAAGAGAGTATTTCTTTCAAAGACATGAAACCTGAATTGGACTGGATCTCATGATTCTTCAGTTGTCATTCAAACGTATCCCTCAGAAGGTTCAGGCTTATGCATCAGAGCAGGATATCAAGAAATGGCTGGTTGATTTAAGATGCTACTTCGAAGAGGAAGATGCTCTTAATCATCTTATTGATGAGGAGACATCACGTGTCTTCAACTTTGACGAAACAAGATTTGGGCTACTAGGCAGCAGTGGTCTGTCCAAAGTTTTTCCAGAAAGGGATAGTAAAGAAACAGTCCAAAGGAAAGTTTCTGATGGTAAAAGCACCATTACAGTGCTTATCAGCGCTTGAGCGGATGGATACTTTTTACCACCAATTATAATGGTAAATGCTCGAAGTTTACCAGATTACACATGCTAGAAGAGGCTGGATTTTGAAAAGGATGAGTTTTGAATCTGACGTTCATTGTCTGGATGTATGATAGGACGTGATTTTTTTCCAATGCACGAGAGACGTTTTCATTCCATACGTGGAACAAAAGTGTCTGAAAACGCCTGTCTTTGTATTGGGATATATCAGGATGGACACTGGACCCACACTACCATTGAGCTGCGGAAACTCTGCATTAATGAAGATACTAAATTGTATGTGTTGCTCATGCAAGCCACATCCTCCAGCTGCATGAAAGGACCCTCAGGTTGACTTCACCAAAACAAGCTTTCTGAAGGTTTTTCTTTGGTTTTTTTTTTTTTGGAGGGAAGTCCGGGAACGAGATCATCTGGCAAATTTAGGCGTCAGAAAGTCTGGACTCACTGAAGATCAGATCAACATTTGCTATTGGGCATGCAACAGTCGTGAGGGCCAATAGCAGGTGATCGCTTCTTCAGCTTCAAAACGTATTTCTTCCAGGAACTTAGTGGCGTTTTCTACCTGAGAAGCAATTACTATTTTCTGAATTCTCTCTCTCTTTTTTGTTTTTTTTTTTTTTTACAGAGGACGAAGTTTTGGGTTTTTAATCAATGACTTTCTTTCTCCCATAGTGGCACAACAATATTCTTTTTTCCAGTTCTGCTATATATGCACATTTTCACGATAGGAACCATATTGAGAAAGCTGTGGTCTGGGTTTAAAGAGGAACAGTGATTTTTTCAGTTTATATTATGTGAATTTACCTTTCTTTCCTTATATCACTCTCCTATGTGATCTAATCTTGTTATGCAGCTCGAAGTCAACTAGTGCTAGTGAAGTTCGGTTTTGACATTTTCATCACAAAAAGCGCGAAAATTGTAACGAAATCAGGGCTTCTGCACTCCAGATGGTTTTCTTTTAATTCACCACTGCTAACTTTGGACTCATTTTCATGCGTAACTATTCATTATGATGGTGGAGAGATACAATCTAAAAAAAAAAATGAAAACTGTCATTCTACCGTACTTCCAGGAGTTCACGGATGTAATGAACAAGCCAGGTCATTTCAAAGCATAATGCGCGAAAATGGCATTTGTCTCCCGTGATTATCACTGAGGCAACCGCGAAATCAGCCCTTCGCTGCTTAACCTAAATCTCGCTTGTCTCCTTTTCTGAATGTTATTGTAGCAACATTAAATTTACAATGAATTGATAGCCAATTTGGCACCCTACAAAATGAGGTCTTTTGCTCAAGACTTCGACGGAGGATAAAATCGTCATGGGATGCGGGGAAGTTCAAAATACAAGGATAGTGTGCGAAAACCACCCCTTTTACCATATGTCAAATTAAGCAAGGTGTATATACCAAAATGATGGATTAAATGAGGGCCATAAACTCCTGTATATTACCTGTAATAGCCTGAAGTATTTCATGGGTATGGTTTGTCTCCTCTCTCCCATGTCAGTGTAGTCTTTGCAAGAAATATAGTGGGATACAATGTTCGTACAGGCTGGGCAAAAAAAAAAAGGTAAGTTATCTTTAATGCTTTACAGTGTAGTTTCTTGAGAGTTTGAAAATATTGCAATAATGTCTTAATGTAGAACATTTATCTAGCTCTCCTTTGCTGTCAAAAAGATTTAGGGTGGATTTTTGAACAGAGCATTATCTGATAATGCTCTGTTCAAAAATCCACCCTTAAGATCTATTCTGTCATACTGATGCAGTTGCACACAGGATAACAGAGGTAGCACTTGAAAATTGCACTCACCAGTACCCTGTAAGATGTGTTGCAGGTGATGTCCATTTCTTTGCTCATGATGATTAGGCAACCTCTTGCATGCACTATCTGCCATCGGAGCATGGCACCAACTTTTCCAGTGCCACCTCTTGTACTTTTTATCTAACTGCATGAAAGCCATGTCACAAATCTTTATTCTGTTGGCATAATTGGAGAGCTGAATGAATGTTATTATTGCAATTTTACCAAACTTTTGGGAACCAGTGCTGTGGAGTGATAAAGATAACTAAAGTTTTATTTGGCCCACCCTGTATTTATGCTGTGAATTCAGTACTGGTACTGAATTGAGTGGATTTTTTTAGTAGACATCCCCCACTTGCAGAAACATTGGAAAGACAAGTCTATCATTGCATCACTTCTTGGAATCTAGTGTGTTTCAAAAGTCACTTGCCGAATGGGGATAATTGTAGGTGTTTGAAATGGTCTCCCTGCACTGCAATGCTGAGTTCAACATGGCTAAAGAGGAAAGAATATGATTCCTGAACTATGACTACAAGCTAATTGGGATGCATGTATCAGGTTGAGGCATGCCTCAATTGGGTAAGCATCCCAATTTACCAAACATTTTCATAACTTCTTTAAATTGCACCCAAAGATCTCGACTAGGCCCTTCCTTGCAGTTAGGCTCTCAACAACGACCCCATAGCGAAGTGGCTTGAGAGAAAGAAAAAAGAAGTGGAGGGTGGGGGGCCTCCAATGGTGCTGCTCTCTTCCCCATTCCTTGAGATATTGACAAGATTTTTTGGGGGATCTTTTTGCACATCTTTAGGAGTTTCCCTGGCATGTTTCATTGATAAAAGCCTTCTAGGTGACCATTTTGGGTGATTAGTAATGACCCCATAGCTGCTATTGAAATGGGAGTGTTTAGCGAGTTTCCTCAGTGAATAATCAGCCCACACCTTTGAAATTCTAATTAATATCATAATAGGCAAGTACAAACTTGCGTACCAAATTTTGTCAGGAACAGTCAGCTTCTTCATGGGCCTTTTTTTTTTTTTGGTGGTGAGTAATAATTAAAATTTTTGGATTTCACCTTGTTTAGAAAATTACTTGCTTGAAGGGTTAGGTTAACATTGCATGGACAGTGAGAGCAAAGTGCAGCATGGCACTGTCTTGTTAGAACTACATCTTGCATGGCACTGCCAATGGCAAATCATCAATGAATGGGCGACAGTAGTGTTCAGAACCTCGCTATATGTGTCTTGAAGGGGAGGACCTGCGGCATGGCCACTGCAGTCCCCAGACCTAACATCCCTCATCTTTTCTCTGTTGGGCTATGTGAAACAGCATGTGTTTGCTCTGTAGCCAATGTCTGTCGGTGACTCAAAGGACCAGATGCTATCCAGGGAATAATCACCCCCTGACACTTGTAGCTGTCAGTGATGAATTCAATAGCCATGTCGAACACTGCATTGTAGTGCAGAGACACCATTTTGAGCACCTATGATAATCTCCATTTGGCAAGTGGCTTTTGAAGCACAGTACTGATTACTTTCTTGACAGAAATAGTGTCAGTTGCCAAATATAACTTTTGATCTACTCAATGAGTAATTTCATTTGCCATACATTGAAATACACTTATTCCCTCTCCACATGCATACCAAACCTGGGGGATTGGAACAAATCTAATGGTGAGAAACTCATTGATAGAAGTCAAATTGCCAACTGTGTCTTGCAAAGTCTCTGTGCAATGCCATCAGGTTTTATGGATGATCTTGTGCTCCCTGATAATTTTCATCCTACTTGAATCATAATGCCCAAATGCATGGAAGTAATGAGATTGGAAAAGATCAGTGCCTCTGAGAGGTTAGGAAATTTCACTCTAAATAGTTGACATCTGGTCTCATTTGTCCTCAATGCTATGCCTTCCATGAATATGTTTCCTAAGTCTAAGGGGAGTTGACATTTGCCACAATGCTCAATGCCATCATGTATGTATCTTATGACTTTGAAGAGAAGTTAACAGCAAGTCATCAAATTTAATTTTAAAGATTGATTTTGTGGTCCAATTGGTTTTATTTCCATTGTATGTCAGGATGAGGAATAAGTTTATCTGTGCCTCATTGACCAATTTTCATATCCTTTGATTCCTGATACTTGAAAGTTTTAGAAAATATGCATCCAAGAAGTGTAATCATGTGAAGGTCATGTAGAAGCCCATAATGAGAACTGAAAGCAGTATGGAGATAAATTTAGATGTTTGAATGGAGATCCAGGTCCAAAGCTGACAATTTTGCTTCTCACTTCCTGGGAAATCATTCATGTTCATGGGAGGAAACAATAAGTTTTCCTACACTGCCAAAGTCACTGCCAAGTGTCAAGTCAACATACAGGGTATCCCAGAAATATCCGGCTGATTTTGATCACATATATCTGTTCAAGTTTTAATTTTTAATTTTTAATTTGTGTCTGTTTATCCTTTTTCAGAAAAAAGCCCTGTGAAAAATGGCTAACTGTTTAACATTTGAAGAAGAAAAAAAAAATCTTGAAAGAGTACTGGAAATGTGGCAATGTGAACCAAGCCCAGTGAAATTTTGAAAGGATTTTGACTTGACTCCTTTAGACTTTTTTTTGTGGAGCTATGTAAAGGTTTATGATGACAAGATGACAAGGTTTATGCATGAAAGCCCAAGACAATTTGCCAGCTGAAACTGGAAATTGAAAACATGTGTGCATCTATCCCGGTTGAAATGCTGCAGTCTGTGTGTGACTCGGTTTTCCAGCATTGTGTGAAATGCTACAATGCTGCTGGCTGTCCTTTTGAAAAGTGAAATGAAAAGTCATTAAACCTGCTTTAAAAACCTGCATCATTTTTTTATTTGTGAGCAGTAGTATCCAGGTTATTCCCAATCAGTCAGCTGGATATTTTTGGGACACCCTGTATAATTAGTGGGCAGGATCTTTTACTGAAGAAAAAACTCAAAGAGGACTTCAAGCTTGAACAGAGAAGCTAGATCACCATCAATGAGACATGAAGACAATTCTTTTCAGTATTATAAGTGGTCTGTGGAGAACAGACCTTAAACAAGAGTGAACAGGGATGAGAAAGCAACTTACAGTTGTTGGAATGGTACCACAATGAAGAAAAGACTTGAACAAAGGAAGGGAAGGTGAGACGTGTTAAATCCTAGACAGAAGTGAGAAAGATGGAAAACATTTGTAAGTAGCTAATCATTGAGTATATTGAGGCTCAGTATTCCTAGTGTAAGTACTACAGAAGGTGAGGTCATGGGTATTCTCAAAGTGTCTGGTCCTTTTTCTTTGTTCTGGGATGTAGATCTGCTGCATATAGCTGGGATGGGGCAGAATGCACCTTCAGGAGGATACAGTTCTGCACTAGGAGTGTCCCTTTCTCCATCCTCATCTCCACCACCTCCACCTCCACCACCTCCTCCTCAGTCTTCATCCTCAGATGTCCTTGATGCCTTGAGTCATGAGTTGAAGCTGGAGAAGAGCAACATCTTGCTGTTGGGGCCGACTGGATCAGGAAAGACGCTCCTGGCCCAGACAGTGGCAACTTGCCTTGATGTCCCATTTGCCATCTGTGACTGCACCACCCTCACCCAGGCAGGATATGTTGGCGAGGATATAGAGTCAGTCATTGCAAAACTTCTCCAAGATGCCAACTACAACATCGAGAAGGCACAGACTGGTAGGCCTTATGCATGTCCTGGTGTCGCATTCACTGATGATTGCCTTAGAATCCCCCATTTGAAAATCTACTTTAGGAATAGTATTCCTTGATGAAGTAGACAAGATTGGAGCTGTGCCTGGGATCCATCAATTGCGAGATGTTGGTGGAGAAGGTGTTCAACAGGGTATGCTCAAGGTAAGCAAAAGGGATTATTTTGCAACAAATTCAGTATTGACTGTCTCTCCCAATCAATCTTCCATGGCATTTTCATAGGCTGGAAAATCAGGAATGCCTGAAAAAAAGCAAGGAATGGGGTGAAAGAGTCAGGAAAAAGTCAATGAAATTATCTATATTTCTTGAAAATCAAGGAAAATCAAAGTTAACCTGGTAACTACCAGAACCCAGATGGTCAAAATTGAAGGCAGATATGGAGATTTGGAACATTTTATTGGCACAAAAATTTCTTGCTACACTACGAAGTTCCAAAGAGATATGAAATGTGAACATGTCTATGAAGTGCTAGCAAGTTTTGGTATGATACTATGACACTGTATCACTCAGTCATTTGCTACTTTAACCCTGTAACTACCAGGACCTGGATATTCATATGTTTAATTATTTGTTTCATCTCTTCATTCCCAAATATCCTCTTTAGAATATGTTGTCTAATTACTATCACATGTCTTCATGAAATTACACAGAATATCAGACTTTACAAGTTCACAGTTTAGCCAGCACAAATAGCTAGTTTATTTTAACACTTTTGCTCCAGAGGGTTGGTGACTGAGGTTATTTTGAGGTCTACCAAAAATATATCGCTTCAGAACACAAAATGATAGAGACTTGATCTTTATTGGAAATTGAAGTATAAGGTCTCTATTTTATGCGTTAAATTATTTCAGTAGTATAAATGTTTAAAAGGACGTATGATTATGCCCACTGTCATCTGATGGTAGTTAGGACTGGACGTACAGTTACGTCCATCTGATCAAAAGTGTTAATCAGGGCTCATTGAACCCAGAATGGCAGTTGCAGGGTTAATTGCATAACTATCAACCTGTCCCATGTGACTTTGAGGAATATAGTAAAAATTAGCAGTCTGCAATACTTTCTTTTGCCTAAAGAAAATGGAAAAATATTTCATCTGCTTGTCTGATTATGATCATTTGAGTGGCTAGATGTGCATCATATTTGGCAATGTACTAAAGCCATTTATTTTTGGATGCATTGTACAATTTAGCCTGATAATATGAAACTTCCACAATAAAAATTCATTTCTGGTGCAAATCAATAGAATACAATCAGATTGATCATCTGATTGTATTCTATTGCTTAGAAAAGAATAATTAAAATTGTGCATTTAAACAATACAATCATCATTATACAATACATCAGTCAATCAGGGGTACAATCATCAGTCTAAGCAGGGATGTATTCAAATCTTTTTCGTTAGTAGTCAGAAGAAAACCTGTGAAGGTGGTACATTTTGGGATGAATTTTTTGGATCCCAGATGTCCATCAGGCATCATAAATCTAGGTGAGGACTGGGGTTCAGTGGCCAAGTGGTTCTGGCTTCAGAGTGAAACCCAGGAGGTGAGGGATCAACACACACCACTCTGTGTGTTATGTTTAGGAGATACAGGTGTAGTACACCTTAAAAACCACTCATGCCAGTCATGGGCACAGGCAATTCATTAGCTGCCCTAAGGCCTCCTACAGGGCCATAGAGGATTATTTCAGCCAAAGGGACTGTGATTGAACTGTGGTGCTTATGCCAAGTGGGCATCCCTTTCTGTGTCGTGTAAAAAATAAGTCCGTTGTTGTGCATGGCTGTCGCATCTCCTATCTTCTAAATAATATAAAATAAATAAAATTTCCAGATGAGGCAAAAAATGTCCTGCTGTTCAAAGTTCTGTGGTGTTGATGATGCAGCAGATAGCTCCAGAAAGGTTTCTTTCTCAATTACTTCTTTCTGTCCTCTAAACATCTTAAATTCATCCCTCTTTCTCTTGAGCTATTTTATCATCTAAAGAATTTCATTTAAAAGTTTCTTGAATTTTACTTTTGTTTTAAGAAAAATTATAGACAGGAATATGGTGTATACTCATAGTTTTCACCACTTTATCATGTTTAAGTTGGGTGAAAAACATGTCCTGTGCTGTATGATGGTCTTGACTGTGGTAAACATTCTCTTAGTGTGGTATATTCTAGCATTATATACCTCACATAATACATAAGTTAGTCAGGTTCCCATTAATAATCAATCATTCTAAAGAAGAACTTGGAAGGCATACCACAGATGACTTGCACTGACCCACTGTAATATGCATGGACCACTGGTGTACTGTGCCAACCTGAATTTTTGGCAAGATGATTGCTCCTTATATTGTTAGTGAAAATGGTACTTTCTTCAAAGTAAGAAGGAAAAAAAATTCAAATCAAATGGAAAATGGACCTACTTTGAGGAAAGTAGAGTTTATGCTTGAAAACATCAATTTTGGTCAGAAATCTATATTGAAAAGGACTAGGAAAATGGCAAACTTGATTTTCGCAATTTTGTTTGTACATTGCATCAGATATTAAATAAAATGACGTAGAAGAAAGGGAAAGTAATTTGGCATGTGGCATCCATATTCAGATGCTGGAAGGGACAGTGGTGAATGTTCCTGAGCGTAATTCCCCTCGCAAATTGAGGGGAGAGACAATTCAGGTGGACACAACAAACATCCTCTTTGTGGCATCAGGGGCCTTCAATGGCTTGGATCGTATTGTCAGCCGACGCAAGAATGAAAAGGTTTCTTTCTTATGCATTCAACATTTTCTGATTCATGGAGTGAAAGACATTTCTTCAAGTTATCTTACCCCCATTTCTCCTTTATGTTATGGCATGTACTGTAGTACCTTGGTTTTGGAGCTCCAGTTACAGTGTCCCCTGGACGGAGGGCTGCATCCCAGGCTGATCTTGCCAATCAATCTGGCATCAGCTCTGTGGAGGAGGATAATACTGAGAAGGATGCCCTCCTTCGTATGGTTGAAGCCCGGGATCTCATTGAGTTTGGCATGATACCTGTCAGTTCCATATTTTCTTCTTGTCCTAATCACTATTGTAGGACTTGGGCTTCATATGTTGTATTTTCATCAGGAGTTTGTTGGTCGGTTCCCTGTGGTGGTGACATTCCATTGCCTGAGCCAGGAAATGTTGGTGAGGATCCTCACTGAGCCCCGCAATGCCCTTGTCCCTCAATATCAGATGCTTTTTGGCATGGACAAAGTGAGAATTAATATCTCAATGTGTCTAGCTCTTTTGTTTAATTACAATATGTGGTTCTGACTGACCTCAAGAATGGTTACAGGTGGAGCTGACATTTAACAATGATGCCCTGGTTGCTATTGGGAGGCAGGCAATGGAGAAGAGGACAGGAGCCCGTGGTCTTCGAGCCATCATGGTAAGAGGCAAGGCCATTGCATGGCCCAACCAAACTGTCTTCTGTAATGACATAGATGGACTTTAAATTGTTTTTTTTTATGCGGTGTATCAGGAAAAGCTGTTGCTGGATGCAATGTTTGAGGTGCCTGGGACTGACATTGTGGGAGTGCTGGTGACAGAGGATGCCGTGAATGGGAAGGGTGTTGTATACATCCGAGAAGGAGATTCTGCTTCTGATTCTCATGCTCAGTCTGAACCCATCTCTAGTCAGGCCAGAGCATAATTAACCCCTACCTTCCTTCCTTTCGATGGTACCATTACCCATGGCATTGTATTCTCATGGATTCAGAGATAAGCAAAACAGAGGTCACTGACATTTGCATGCTGTGGTTGGTGATGCAAGTTTGGAATGAAAACTGAAGACTGACACATCCTTTTATGTGTCATGTTTTCATGATATTCCTATATGGAGTCTCTTCTCCAGGGGTATTCATATAGTAAGAAAAGAGTTTGGCACATCAGTGTTTTTGTGCAGGAAATGAGCAATCATGTGTAACATCTTTGTGTGTTCACATGCTCAGCAAAATCAGGGCTAGGGTGGCTGTGATATTCATCCCCTGCCTTTTGGGATATTTCAACTTGTCTTCAGTTTTGCCATGATGACATAACTAAATATTAGGTGCTCAAGTAAGCTGTGTTGGCTGGGTTTTGACTTCATTTTCTTTGCAAATTTTGTGTAAACTCCAATAATATATTCTCCAACAATGAATAAGAATCCATTTTAAACTTCAAACTGTTAAATTCAATAATAAGTAAGGTTTGAATATACATTGCAATGTGCAATTCTTTGCCAACTGGAGTGGAGAGGAAAGGGGGAAGTGGGTTCAAGGGAGGATATGACATAATCCCTGTTGGCAATGAAATGTCTGAAGTTGCAACAGGATTTGTAATGCATGGAATGTACTGCTTCATTTAAAGGACAAAGTGTGATAAATTTTATCTTTGGGGATGTGGCAGAATATATAGCATGGTAATGACTGGTTTTTGAGTGTCTATAGCAAATGTCTGTCTCTCTCTGCCTTTTCATCCACATTAGGTGGCATCATGAAGAAAACTGGCTGTCGATCAGGAAGGGAGGAATAGATTGGTTTCCAAATGATGTGAGAAACTTTTTTGTCCTTTGCTGTATCTTGTTTGCATAGAGAAGAGACAATAAAAGAATATGTTCTTATCATATGAACCTTCGAATGCCAATTGGCTTTGAGTCATTGAAGTTGGAGAAGCAGGGAGCAGCCTCTGTCAGCAGAGACCTGTGGAACTCCTATTTTCTGAGTCCCTCAATACCTCCGTTTGAGTGTCATTCTTGTCCTCTTGTCTGTAATGTGATGACAGCAAAGTATAATAACAGCACAATTTCTTGGGGGGTTAACATCATTCCCACATGACAATGCCATTCTGCTTGTGTTGTTGGCTTTAGTGTGTGTGGCTTGTGTGATGATAGATGGATGATGGACATGAGATAAGAGTGTGATTGTGAAAGAATGCACTAGGAGTGATGTTAGATCAAGTGCAAGTTAGTGGTTGAGAGAGAAGCAGGTTCTGGAAGCAAGATGACATTATCTCGTTCAGATGAGAGAAAGAGGCGGAAGGTGGAACTCCAACAACCCACATCAATGTCTGTCCTTTATCTACCCAACTCTTGACTCTCATACGCCTTTAATCACAGTCATGACATCCTTCTGCTCAGGCGTGGTGGTCGGTGCATCACACGGGTGTGTTTTGAGGGAACGCGAATCCACTCTGCTATGGTGAAGGCAGTGAAGAGCCTGGAGTGGGAAGTGCGTGAGTCACGCGGGGAGAGTCATTTGGTATGGGCTGATGATTCCTGGTCCTTCCCATTCCTCTCACACCCTTTCCAACGCTTCAATCACTTCCCATCCATCCAAGAACTGAGTCGCAAGGATCTTCTAGCAAAGAATCTCAATGACCTTCGCAAGAAGCATCCTGGCCTCTACAACATCTTCCCTCCCTCCTGGGTTCTACCTGCACAGTCTGTTTTTCTATTTTTTATTTATTTATTATGAACTTGGCTAATGCAATTGCCTGAATGTGTGTTTGTCAATTTAGTCTTTGTCAGCTTTTGCAGGAATACTATTACTTGAAACCTTACCAAAATTTCCCATGTCTCACTAACAATATAAAAAATTGAAGAGCACTGAAACTGAAGTTTTTTTCAAGTAAGGTTGTCTTCATATGCGAATTCTTGAATTTCTTCTGTCTGCAATGTGACATTTATTATGGTTAAAAATGTCAAAATCATCCTCAGCAATTGTGACCATCATGTCTTTTGCCTATTAACATGTTCATCTTGTTCCTGGAACAACTCTCTCTAAGTGCTTGCAGATGCTACTACTTTTTTTTAACGATGTATGTTAGAGTGTCCCAACTTGAGTGGTTTTACCCTAAATTAGGAATTTGGAGCTCCAGAGACATCACTTATGACATAATTTGAAAAACAGCCTTCAAGAACCTAAATATGAGAAAGTTGATTTAAATTGCATGCTTTTTTAAAAAATAGTTTGATTTAAGGTTACTATTCACAGGCAGCTACTTCATGAAAATTCCATCAAAAGGGCATGTGAGTAGACTGGGAATTTTCATTGACATTGGCATATGGATGTCTTCAGCCCAGATCTGTGGTAGCACCATGGGTATTTTGTTCTGGCCTTAATACAAATGCATCTTCCACTTGCACACAAAGTGGACAATTCAGAGCCACTACTGTTCAACTGAGTCCATGTGTTTCCTTTATGAGAACATTTCTAAACCAGGGTGACTTACAAATTTGCTGTTTCTCAACTTGCAGTAATTTCTGTCCATTGGCTTTAATCCAATATCCTACTTATTTAATTTCATTTACATACTGTTATGACAAGAGAGAGGTAAAATTCATCTGTTTGGAAATGTTACATTGAATAAGGAAAAAAACTACCTAATGACTTCTTCCTGTCTCAAATCACATGACTTCATGGTGTATATGTAACTTTCTCTTGGAAATTTTATATTAGGGAATTAGTGATGTTGCACTTTGAATTGACCCATGATAGGATTTTGCATAGCATTTCTTGAAGACAGCTTGGACTTTCTCTTCAAAGATCAATTTATAATCAAGATGTTCCCCTAAATTCTTCACCAATTTTGAAGGTTGAATAGATCTACCTCCCACTTTGATTGTTCTAGCAGTTAACTTCTTGAGAAATGTCAGATTTGTGTTTTTCAAAGTAAGCATTAACCCATATCTGGGCAAGGTAAAAGACAAATGTAACCATACAAGGGGGATCCATTGGACCCCCTGTTATTAATACTTCAAGTATATATTGGGGAAAAATAGAAGACAAAAACACACTTACCATGAAGCAACATCTTTCTTTTATTGATTCCAATGAATTTCAAAAGTAATGTGACATTATTATGCATCCAAAGCAATTTTTTTTTACCTTGGGTAAAATTTGGATGGTAAAACTAAGGTATAAAAATGGGACATTTCAGATTTTTTTTTGCTTGTTTCACTGTCTGAATTCCACCACTACCAAATTTCACTGTGATATTTTACCGCATTCTTACCTGTAATTTACCTCAGTTTCATAGTTTCCCTCTTTCTCACCTGTTTTTTTTTCAAAACTGTTTTACCTGCACTTACATTTACCTTCCATCTATACTTTTACTTCATTTGGCATTCACAATTTGTTACCTTCGTGGTACCTTTTACATCTGATTTATATACTCTTTTTACGCATGATGTAATGTTCACCTTATATGATTGGAGCAACATTAACCTTGATGTTATGAATAAAATAAGTTGATTTGGTCCCAGATCAAGAATAAAAGCTTTACTTACAAGATAGTCACATCATGAAATTGTTGCAAACATTTATTTATGAGGCATATAAGCTTACAGCTTTGCAGTCTGATCATTAGTCTCAGATTTCTGAATGCATTTTTGTATTAGCCAATTCTTAGCTTCATAATCAAAAGTTTATAGACCAAGAGACAAACTTAGCCTCACGTGAAAATAAACGAGTAGCAATACAACATGTAGGCAAATTTTCAGATGGAGCCGAACCACTAACACTGGGCGAGACCAACTTGACGTCATGACTATGCTATACCAAACCATATAGGGAATAAAATTATTCCAACATATCCCACAAGGATGAAAAGACTACTGTGAATGTGCTAGGAGCAACATTCTTTTGGGATTACCTTAGTTTCACCTTAGCAACTCATCTCTTTGGAAGATCCTGCTTGGAGAGGAATCCTTTCCCATGAGCCTAAGATAAAATCAGGGATTACCCTCTTTCCTCCCTTTTTCTCTCTTACTCTAGTTGTCAGAAGGCCCTGCAGACAAATATTAGGCAATAAAGTTGTGAAATATGGAGGAATCAGGATAACATTATATACGTGTACATGGATGTACAGTAGTAGGGGTCTGATGGACCCCATTTGCCCGGTTATGTTACTCAAATCAAAAAATAATTTTTTCTTACTTTTATAAAATTTTCAGGTTGGTGATGTTCTGGTGTCAGGGTCTTCTCGACTTGAAGGACAAATACTAAAAATGACAGGAAAATCTATGCAATGGTTTGAATGCTCTTTAAAAAAATGGAGACCTTGGGGTCTAACAGACCCCCCTTGACCTTGCCTGGATAAGGGTTAAAACATTCAAATGCTCCTATAAAGAATGGTCCCCTTAGTATTTTCAGATGTTTTGTGATATCTGATGAATTTTGGAAATTCCAAGATAGTCAAGTCATCAGCTGGTTAACTTCTTCATTTGAAGGAATTCGGCATTGGTTCACTGCTGATTCATGGGCATCAGCCCTTTTCAGAAAGTATTGATGCCCAACATCAGTGCTTTCCCTATGTCTCAGGGGTGAAAAGCTATGCTGTTTACAGTGCTCCCTTGCCTGCTTCAAGGATTTCCTGCAGTGAATCCTGGGTATACACTCTTTGGCATTTTGGTTTAATAATTCAAACACCCTGTACAGCAATTTCCTTTTAATTGCTGACCTGATCAATGCTGAATCAGTGTTTGAGTGTGAGGGGTATTTTTATTTATTTAATAAATTCATTGGTGGAATTGTATAATGCAGACAAGAGGCATTAAAGTAGAAGAAAGATCTCTTTAGCAGTACAAAAGGAGCAGTCCTCTGAGAATGCAGCAACAGCAAGAGGGGAAACCTAAGACAGAGTTTTGGAATTCCTAATTTTCTGACATTTTGAGGAAAAAACGTTTATTTTCAATACTGAATTCCTTCAAACCTGGCACCAAAGCCTCAGAAGGATGTTAAAATTCCCTATATGCAAATGGCAACCTAGTCTGATGCATCTGTCTAAAAATAATTGCCAATGCAATGGTCTCAGCTATTTTCTGTCCTAATGAAGACTGAAACAATAGGAAAGTTATGATATTATACCTTAGACTGTAAAGCTCATCTGATAGGTCACGTGGATGCATTCCTTTTTACAGCACCCCAGCAACTAGTGTGACAAATACAGGGTGGGCCAAAAAAAAAGGACAGTTTTCAATGATTCACTATACTGCACTTATTGCATACATTTAAATGCAGTTTGTGGTATTTGAAAGACGAATGACCAAGCTTTAAAATTGTGCACTTACCTTTCAAATATCTTCAGCATTTTCAGAAATTTCGAAGCTCATATAAACTACAAACAAAAACTGCATTGTTTTTGTAGCAGTGGGGATGGACCAGGTGGTAGCTGATGGCCACATGCCATCTACGTCCACGTGCATGGCAATGCAGTTTTTCTTTCTTATTCCTATGAGCTTCAGAATTTCTAAACATTTTGAAGATATTGAAATATGAGTACACCATTTTTAAGTTTATTCATTTCTCTTTCAAATGCCACAAACAGCATTAAAATATATGAAGTGAGTGAAGTGTAGCTTATCGTTGAAAACTATCCTCTTTTTTTTTGGACCACCCTGTACATAAGTGGTTTTTGATAGATAAGAATAGGGATTTATGAGAGATCTACTAAAATAGCACTGACAGTGAACTGGAACCACTTTACTTTTAATTGAAAGTAAGTTGATTAGTGAGACATAACCACCAGGATTAAAGCCAATCTGAGATATCATGTGGTTGATTCTTGGGACAGGAGTGGAGAGTGGCGAGAGTATGCAGAGGAGAACCCAGAGGCATGTTACATCATCAAGCCATGGAATCGCAGTGAAGGTCAAGGGATCTACTTGACCAAGGTGACGCATGCCATCTCATCGTATGTGAGTCCCCGTGTCGTGCAAAGATATGTCGATGATCCTTTCACCATCGATGGCTACAAGTTTGATCTGCGGCTGTACGTACTGGTGACCTCTGTGTCTCCGTTGCGGACATATGTCTTCTCAGAGGGTCTAGTGCGCTTTGCAACTGTCCCCTATCAGCAGCCCCAACAAGGAAATCTGGACAACCGATACCTTCATCTCACCAATTACACCATCAATAGGCAGAATGATGCATATTCCAGTGATGAAATCATGGGTTCCAAACGGTAATTTGCTTTGTGTCTTGCCCTCTCCCAGTCATTCATAAGTTGATGTTTTCTTCTCACTTTCTCCTACTAAGCCCAATCAAATCAAACAATATCAATGTGAGAAGCATAGAATAAGGAGTTATGGGCTAGCAGAATTATGTCAATTGATGTTTGCTCATCATCTGCATGTATTTCAACTAAGTCATGAAATAGCACTAATGAATTGGACTTTATGGGAAAGTCTTAATACTTTTCTACTGTCCTATAACTTGTGGAATTGGTACAAGGGTAAAAGCACCAGTTCATAGATGGGCTACTATTTGTGGACAATTTCATGCTTCTGTATTCCTATAAAACCTACAAAGGAAATTTATATCCATGATTGCTTGATTCAACTGATTCTAGTGTATTCTGGCGTTAGTTTTTCAAGATTGGAGATTAAGCTAAATTGTCCACAAATAGGCACCTGTCTATAAATTGGCACCTTTACTCTATTCTGTAATGAGTACTTCTCAGTGTTTCACTCATGCTGAGTATATGACAAAGGGCAAAGTAAGGAGTATAATATAGCTTGAGATGTGTTCTTTGATGGATGTCTCTTAGTTTTGGTTCTTGGTATAGTGTTTTCCCCACTATATTATCAATATATCCTTATAATCCTCAAGACAGTACATGGTTTTAGAAAATGTTTTGAATAAATAGAATAATCAGGAATGTACAGGGTGTCTCAAAAAAATGTATACACACTTGAATCAAGAGTATATATTAAATAATTCAGAGAGGGACGATGTTTAATGTGACATGTACAGTACCTAACAGATGACAATGTGTAATGGAATGATTGCTTGTCATCATGAAATTTTTTCCCATGAGACAGTGTGTCACACCAGATGACACTAGCTCACTTGACCTTAGAGCAATGTAAGTTGATTTTGAAGAAAAAAAATGTATACACACTTGAATCAAGAATATATATTAAATCATTCAGAGAGGGACGATGTTTAATGTGACATGTACAGTACCTAACAGATGACAATGTGTAATGGATTGATCGTGTGTCAGGCAATTTTTTCCCACGAGACAGTGTGTCACGCAAAATGATACAAGCTAACTTGACCTTAGAGCAATGTAAGTTTACTTTGAAGTGATTCTGGAAATCTTAGAACACATGTGAAGTGCAAAGAATGTGGAGAAATGAACTTGCAATATGCCACCATGATGTACTAGAACTTTCAAGGATTCATGATATGTTTGATGCTGATGGTACAGTGCATGGTCTCCCAGAACATTGCTACTACGGTAATGCACAAACAATGTTCTGATAGACCTCACCAACAGTTAACTGTCAACAGTGCCTGGATGTTAACGGTGAACAATTTGAACATCTGTGGTAGTGAACCATGCAATTCAAACCCTACAACAGTGCCTGGATGCTAATGGTGAACAATTTGAACATCTGTGGTAGTGAACCATGCAATTCAAACCCTTGCTTCTCCACACACTGAACATTGTACCTCTCTGAATTACTTAACATATATTTTTTATTATTAAAGTGTGTATACATTTTTTTGAGACACCCTGTATATGAAATAAGATAGAAAAGGTAAAATATTTTGTCTTCTAAAGGAGTGCTAGCTCTTAGTTTCATTCTGATGTATAGATCTGCTACATCTAGTTATGGCAATTAATACAGATGAATCCTTTATTGCAGCACATACATAATTGTAGACACATCCTCCAATAGTATTTTATTTCATAAGACACTAGAGATTTATGGGCATGGTACACCTGTACTAGAAAATGTGAAAATGACATTAGAAAATGATGAAGAATGTAGCCTTTGGTTGATTCAAAAGGAAGAGGAAATGTTTCACCCATCATTTCTTTCATTTGATGTAGGTGCCTACAGACACTTAATGCATACTTGGAAGAAGGCAGATGGGATGTGGTAAAGATGTGGAATGGGATTGATGATGTGATTGTGAAGACCATCCTCTCAGCTCTTCCTCAGCTGACAGCTGTGTATCAATGCAAGCACTTTTCCCATTCTGTAGTTCCAGCATGTTTTGAGCTCCTTGGCTTTGACATCATCCTTGATTCCCAACTCCAGCCTTATATCTTGGAGGTGCCATCTTTTATCCATATTTGTTCCTTCCTCATGTGGAATTGGATGCTAATTCCTAATGGTTGCAGGTGAACATCCTGCCGAGCCTGCACACCCAGGCAGAAATTGATGAAGCAGTGAAGGTCCCAATGATGCGGGATGTGCTACGGATGGTCAATCCTTCACATCCAACCCTGCGCCGTCTGATCAAAGAAGGGCTTCAGTTTAAGGAAACCTTGAGGCTAACCCGGGACTGGAGGTAAAGTATCTCCTATTAGTACCTTCTTTGTTCTAAATGGTGCCAGTCAGGGAGTTAGGAGTCTTGTGAGGGTGGTAGAAAGAGGTATGATTTTGCATTGTTGAAGATCTATGATGAGAGATATTTGTTCTCTCTATCTAAAAAAACATTTGCAAAATTGGTAATCTTCTCAAAATGCTGTTTGAACATCTATGCTTCCAGTTTCACAAACAAAATATTCAAATGAAAAAGAGTAATTTTCAAAAGTTTTTATAATTTACCTTACCAAAAGTATGAAATGTCGAGAAACATTCAATGGTAAATAATTACTTGATTGGTGGCAGAACTAATGAAGTTGCATTATTTAATTTTTGAAGTAATTTAAATTGAATTTAGTTGGATTTCAAATTTTGTTAGGGCATATACATCTTTTCTAAGAGTTGAATTCACAAAACTAAATTGAATATTTTCCCCCAATCTAATTCATTTAAGCATAAAGGATGGGTCTCAAGGAGGTGCTAGATAGGCTTGTGTGGCAGTTGCTTTAGCCTTCTTTATCTCCACAAGGCATTTATTTTCAATCATTCAAACAAGGAATTGCTTTTAATCAAGTGAGAGGTACTGTGTTTTGTATTTAGAAGAACTTCATTCTACATTATTTCATTGTGCCAAAATTAAAAGGTGTGAAATTGCAATGATAGTTCTTAATAGTCTATACCAGGGGTGTGCAACCTTTATTGGCAGTGGGCCACATGGAAATGTGTGACTCTTGACTCTGGCCACATAATGCAAAAGAAAAGGCTCCCCTCTTTTGTCCTCAGGGCATATGAGGGCATAAGGTCACGTTGATTGGCCTTACCTCCTTGCCACCCCTAGGAAATTCCATCCAAAAATAGCCTTTGGCATTGAGAACCTTCTTCCTTGGGACATATGTAGCACTGCCCCCATGAGTAAAAATTAGAAGGAAGTGAAAGGACTCAGTTTATTTCTTGTTACTAAGGGATGACCAAAGTTGTGATGTGCCTTCAGCTGCAAAGAAACTAATGTCATGTCATTATGCATTACCAGGCTGCAAGAAACAGGTCCACTGGCCACATGCAGCCTGTGGGCTGTGGGTTGAACATCCCTGGTCTATACAATACCAGCAGATATTATCCTTCTGGATGTCTTTTAACCCTAATCCGGGCAAGGTGAGTCCGCTGGACTCACTACGACATATTTTGGTCTATTACTGTCATTATTTTTTTAAACTATCAGGACCATTGAATAAATTACCTGTATTATTTTAGTTACAGTACTGTTATTTATAAGAATACATACTGTAACTGCAGCAAATGGCCTTATTTTACATGAGTCTGACAGACTCACCTTGCCCGGAATAGGTAGTGAAAAAGCTTGCCCGGATGAGGGTTAAATTCGCAAGTTGAAAAATGTTGCCTTTTGTGCAGAAGTTCTTGGAAAGGTTCAGAAATTGAGGATATAATGGAAGAAACTGATGATATTGGATGCATAAGTATTTGTTTGATGGTGATGAGTATGATACAGGGAGCTTGGAGGCAAGGTGGGGGATCAGATTAAGTCCCTGCAGAAAGAAGTTGCTATACATGAATGGACTCAGCGGGGAGACTTTCGACGAGTCTTCCCGACGGGGGATGAGAGTCGAGATGCCGAGTACCTGAATCTGACAAAGCCACTAGACAAGATGCAAGCAAAACGAGGGAAGTTGCAACGGAATCCTTCACTCCCAGTCATGCCACCTCCTTCAGCGATACCTACTAGAAGACTGCGTCCTGGCATGACAAAGCAGACGTCCTTACCGACAATGCGTGGCAGTTGTGGGAACCTGATGAGTTCATTTGTGCCTGTGCCAATCGTGCAATCAGAGGAACGGGAGAGAATGAAGGGACTGAGGCAACGTCATCACCTGGTCCATGCCAAGGGGATTGCAATCTGTGCCAGACGTCTCTTGGCACGTGTGGGTCATGATGCCAATCCCAGTCCTTCCAATGACAAGCATTCCTCTGCCCCCATCTGCATCCTCTCCTTCCCTGTGAGTTAGAGCTATTGCATATGGGGAAAAAAAAAAATTGAATCAGCAGAATAGTGAAATTTAAGTCTGACAGGACAGTTGAGAGGAAAGTGAAAAGTAAGACAATATAATTTTTTTAATGTTTTTTTTTCTATTTTTTCGTTGTCCATTATTTTATAATGGATTCATTAGTATTCCTATGATGCTCTATTGTGTACTGTTTCCTTTGTTGTTAATGCAGAGTGAAGCAACAAAAAAAAACACTGCTCTTTGAGATTCTTTGCAGTTCAGGAGAGAGCAGATATCATTGCGTAGTTTTTTTTTTGCAGCAACTTCTATGTATTCTTGAAATGTCCTAAAATGTTTATTCATTTTTTTCTAGTAATTTTCTCTTCACGTGAACAATAGCACGAAAGAAACTCATTTTGATTTAGTGCAAGAAAACGTAACAGCAGGAGAGTGGCTGGTATGCATTTAGTGCACCAATCTCAGGTCAGAGCTCCTTCATCTGCCTCTGAAAATGCTGCTTTTTGTGAAAAGATGGGGCGGGACAAGAGTTTTGCTGGAAGACTAAAACTATCTGAAATGGAGGGGAATTACATTTATGTGGAAGTCATTGTTTCTCAAGATGATAATCCAGGAAAGCAAAATTCCCCATTTGTAAATTTGCCAGACATAAGATGATTTATTTTGATTACTTCTGTTACAGGGATGCAAAAAAATAGGAAGGTATGTGCATATTTTGAAAGTTTGGCAATGATTTCACCCTTTCATTGTACTGATTTCCCAGTAGCTTTCAAAATCCCCCCAAAAATAGTTTCCAAAAACTAAAGACTACTGGTTATGATTTAATTGCTCTAAAGGTAAGCTACATCTCTGTTATAGAATCATTGATGAAAGGGTCCTACTTGTTCCCAAGTATTGGGGCATGGGGCACCCCTGACAATTTAGTGATATACTCATTTTGAGATATGTCTGAGAATGTAAACTTGAAAATTATATTTAGCTGAAACATAATATAGTGGATGGTGATCTTGTCTCCCCAATATGATACGAGGGTCACTCAATAAGTTATCTACCTGAATAAGAAAGAAATACTGTAATCTCCTCTCCTTGATTATATCAGGCCCCAAGGAACGGAAAATAATAACCGGATTTCGACATCTTGAGGATTCGACGTTTTTCCACATTTTGACGCCTTCGGTATTGTAACAATCAACATTATGCCCATTCGACATTGTGTGGCATTCGACGTTTTTGCTAGTCGATATAAAATCTGACGTCATTGTGGCTTTCGACATTATGTTATAGAACCTTGTCATCACCCTTCGGTTTATAATCTCTCCAGAAGCCCTAAATACCTCTCTGCTCTAAAATTTAATTCAGCAGTCAATGTATGTCAAAATGATCAGCTTTTCTTTAATATACCAGATTACAAATCTATCCAAGGTAGTTCATTTATTCGATTAATTAACAAGTTGTGATGACCTCCAAGTGTGATACATATATTGAATAGATTAAGATGGAAATACAGTACATGATGGTATATATTTTTTGGTGTCTTCCACTTTCGCCTCCGAGACTTAATTGATAGTAGCTAAATTCTCCCTTTTGTCTCATCTCGATAAAGGGGGCGAGAGTGCACAGGGGCGACTTTCCCAAATGTTGATTTCGTGACTGATAACCACGTCTGCCTCAACCCTTTAAAAGGGGAGGTAAGGTTAACTCCCAGTTTCACTTTCCCACGCTGTGTGGGATGGATACTGAAAACGACGTGGATGGACGGATTATAAGGGGGTGGATAGAAAATATAGTCCCTCATGGATTCAGAAATACTTGTTCTTATAAAGCAGTCAAATGATAGTATAAAATACACAAATTAGGCTAAACAGCTAAAAAAATAAAGTGCATCTGAACGAACTGCTTCTGAAGGAACAGATGGTCTACCCAGGGGTGTCAAACTCGATAAGGCTGGGGGCCGGATGGAAGTCTTTAGGGGTGATTAGGGACCACAATAAAAGCCTAATACCTAACCTTTTATGCAGACAGGCTGAAATTTGCAGTACTTTTCCGTAACCGACTGTTGAAGAGGACTCAGCAGGCCGGAAAAATTGGACTGTCGGGCCGGATCTGGCCCGCGGACCGCCTGTTTGACACCCCTACCCTATTACATCACACGATACAGGGCTGTCTCATATTTTTTCAGATCAATTTCGTTTGTTTGAAATAGAAATACTGGAGATGGTCATAGCTGCGGTCACATGACCCAAGCAGAGGACCTAAAAATATTCCTATCTGCCATGATTTTAATCATGGCAGTATCCAGTAGGGTTCAGAAAATAAACTCATGCAGACCTCCAGTGGGCAGAAAGACAGATACATCAGATTTTCTTTTTATATAGATAAGCCTTGTTTCTGTTATTTTGGAGGCAAAATCCCAAGCAATTTATTCTGGTTTGCAACATAGTGTTTTGCATTTATAGTATAATCTCTTTTAATGTTGAAAGCTAGGAGAGCAGACTGGTCCTCAATAGAGAACTTAAGGGAGTTCAAAATGCAGGACACCCCAATAAAAAAAACTTTTCATTGAGTCAAAGGAGTTTATATGAAGCAAAGTTTTCTGGGAAGGAATATCATAATTGTAGGCCTTCAAAAACTTCAGCAGTAATTGCACTTCATTCAATACTCAAAAGTACTAAAAGGGAGTCAAAATACATAATTCCATTCCATTTCATTCAACAAGAAATGTCAAGGAATGTAATTAAAAAAAAAGTCTCACTTAGCCACAGACAGAGACAGACAGAGACAGACAGAGACAGACAGAGACAGACAGAGACAGACAGAGAGAGAGAGAGAGAGTAAAAGCAAGAGAGATTTAAGACAGTGGAGGACAGGGGACTGTCCTCCACTGTCTCCAGAGGCCTGTGGGACAGGGGAACAAAGGAATTACAATTGAGAAGTGGTGGACGGTAGGTTGTACTGGGAATATTGAGCAATAAATATTGCTGCTGTGCATGACTAGAGGGCAGATCCAGAGTATCTTCCCTGAAAAAATGACAGGACAAAGCACTGACCAGCATACCATCACATGACAAGTAAAGAAAGCAAAGAACATGAAAGATGAGGAAACCATTCCTTCCCACCACCACCTAACATACCATCTCTGAATAAGAAAAGTGCATACCCTGTCACATTTACCATTTTACCATAACACCATCCTATCTACTGATTTTTGCTCACAGCAGAATAATGCTCCCATTATTTGATTTGCATTAGGAACACATAAGAACTGATCACTTTTGATCTTCAACAGTGGCATTAAAATGGAAGCCCACTGAAGAGTCACCAAATACAGGACAAAGGATGGCCAAAGTGGAAGAGATTGTGCGCTTCATTTCTCCTGGAAGACTAATTTCAGATGACAGAGTCACAGCTTCCTTCTCCAACCACCTCCTTGAATCTCCTCCTAAAGTGCAACCAAGTATTATGGTATGTGATGAGTTGGAACATATGAATCATCTTGGCCCACATTTCTTATGTAAGGTAGAGGCACCAGTTTGTGGACGGGTGCCTATTAGTGGACAGTTTTGTGTTTTTGCCATTTCACAAAATTAATGCCAAAATTTATTTCCTTAAGTGCTCCATATTTTGCACATGCTTGTCAGTCACCATATAAATTATGCATACCCATCGGCATGAGTGAACTTGGACATTTTCACATATTTTTAGACTTAGCACCCCTGAATTCCTTAATTTTTCAAATGATATTTCTTAACAGGACATGAATGAAGATGAATAAAACTGCTGTACATTTCTCATGCCCATATTTTTCTATTTGGCATACACATGTTCATAATTGTTGAAAAAAAAGTATCCACAAACTAGGTCCACGAATGTCCACAAACTGGAACCAGGCTGTCCACAAATAGGAACCACATGAAAATCAACACATACTCATTTAAACAGCTATTGTTGGAAAAGCATATTTTAAATATTTTACTTTAGGGTATGGGCATCAAACTACGATATGTGGGTTTCCCATTAAAGCAATGAAAAACACAGGGAAAGGCTCAGCAGAAATAGTAGAAGAAAAACCATGAAGCTCATGAACACTGACCAAAATATAAGAGCAAAAAATTATTATTTTTAACATATTAAGGGTGCAATTTCTTTTTATTATCAAGAGCCATACTTAGTAACTTACATTTAAAAAATGTTGGAAGATTATGCAAGCTGATACCCGTATCAGCTTGCTACAGGTATCAGCTGATACCTGTATAGTTAGTAGAGTTGCTTCAGGTAAGTGAGTCCCATTTTGCAAAATACTGTTTACATTGAGTCTAGGTGCTTCAGGTAAAAACAAACTGGTACGAGGGCCACTCAATAAGTTATCTACCTGAATATGAAAGGGATGAGCAATAGGCCTGTGCCTGCTGTGACATGTCTCGACAGGTCTTGTGAGTGCCCCACCACTATACCAGCTCAGTGGCTCAAGTCCGTTCAAAATGGTAGCGCATTAGATTTCTTTTCCTGAGTCTGTCATGGATTTGACGAAAGTTGAACATCGTTCGGTGATCAAATTCCTCACCAAAGAAGAGAAAGCACCTAAGGAGATTCTTCGGTAGATAAGGAGGTGCGTCTTCTCCTTGTTATTACCAAGTTAAATTTTGCAAGCAGTTTAAGTGGGGAAGAGAGTCAATTCAAGATGACCCAAGGTCGGGGCGCCCTGTGGAGGCTTCTGATCAGGAAATGTGTGACAAACTGGAGAGTGCGATACTGGAGGATCGTCGCACCAAAGTCTCTGTTTTAGCTCATGAAATGGCTCAAATCCGTTCAAAGTGGTAGGGCATTAGATTTCTTTTCCTGAGTCTGTGTCATGGATTTGACGAAAGTTGAACATCGTTCAGTGATGAAATTCCTCACCAAAGAAGGGAGAGCACCTAAGGAGATTCATGAAAGTATGTCTAACGTTTATGGTGTGTCTTCGCCTTCTTATGACCAAGTTAAATTGTGGAGCAAGCAGTTTAAGTGGGCAAGAGAGTCGATTGAAGATGACCCAAGGTCGGGGCGCCTTGTGGAGGCTTCTGATCAGGAAATGTGTGACAAATTGGAGAGTGCGATACTGGAGGATCGTCGCACCAAAGTCTCTGTTTTAGCTCACGAACTGGGGATTTCAGAGGGCACAGTGATTCACATCATTCATGAAAAATTCCACATGTCCAAAGTCAGTTCTCGATGGGTTCCAAGAATGCTGACTCCAGCTCGGAAGAAGAACATACCTGATATTTGCAAGGAAAACTTGGAGTTTTCTAAGCAAATCGGGGAAACTTTTTTCCCCAGAATAGTAACTGGTGATGAAACTTGGGTTCATCACTGTGATCCCGAAACCAAGCAGGAGTCCATGCAGTGGAAGCACAAGGAATCGCCAACGCCTCGCAAATTTCGTGTTCAGAAATCCGCAGGAAAGATTATGGCCACTGTGTTTTGGGACAGCGAGGGACTACTGCTGCTTGAGTTCATGCCAGACGAATGTACAATCACTGGCGATTCCTATGCTACCACCATGAAAGATTTACATGAAGGCATCGAGGAAAAAGGCAAAGGAAAGTTGTCAAGGGGGTCCTTCTTCTTCGTGACAACGCGCCCGTCCACAAATCAAATTCACATCATTCATGAAAAATTACACATGTCCACAGTCAGTTCTCGATGGGTCCCAAGAATGCTGACTCCAGCTCAGAAGAAGAACAGATCTGACATCTGCAAGGAAAACTTGGAGTTTTCTAAACAAATCGGGGAAACTTTTTTTCCCAGAATAGTAACTGGTGATGAAACTTGGGTTCATCACTGGGATCCCGAAACCAAGCAGGAGTCCATGCAGTGGAAGCACAAGGGATCGCCAACGCCTCGCAAATTTCGTGTTTAGAAATCTGCAGGAAAGATTATGGCCACTGTTTTGGGACAGCGAGGGACTACTGCTAATTTCTATACCCATTGGTGAAAATTGTATCAGGCCTCCACAAACAGGTATGCATAATGTGTTGTATCGAACAGATACTAGACTTGAAATAAATTTCTGCTCTGTCAGTCATGAAGAAATGCCTCTCAGCAGTTTGCACATGATAATTATTCTCTTAGACATTTGCAGCAGAAGTTCTCCACCTACACTTCCCATATGATGATGGAAGAGACGACAGCAACTTGAGATTTGCTCTGGTCATGTTTAGTGTCTTACTTCTTCAGGTTTCCCGTTTGTTTTCTGCCCCTGTGGACCCAAGGAATGGGATTCACATCACATTGACAGACTGCTACTAATAGAAAGTGACCGCAACAAACTTATCAGCCCAGCGTTCGGTCATTGACGTCCTCATTGAGTATACATGCTCATTGACAAACATATTGCGTATCTTGCACTACAGATTGCAACCATGATCCCTATGAGTAATCGTTCTCTGTTTCTTGCGTAACTTAGGAAACGGACACGGGGAGTACGAGCGCGAGTGGGTTGGCATGACATCACGATGAACATAAGAGCCGCTCGAATCCCTTATTCGTGATAGTTTTTGAGGAGAGATCGCAAGTCGAGTTCGTAAGCGATCTTGGAGATTTGGAGTGAGAATCGATGGGCTAACGGGACTGATCTGAGAAAGTGCTATTCTGACCTCATTCATCTGGTGTTGGACGAAGAGGCCTCAATAGTCTTTCCAAATCAACCGACATCGTGTTCCCAATCTGGAACATAACGAAATAATTTTCGTATAAAATGGTTGAAGACTCGATGTGTGGCGAATGGAGAATTTATAAAACATCCTTGATGTTCCCGATTGGGAAGAACATAAATACCTTTTAAATATAAATTTGTTACCAACTGGGAGTATATTAAAAAATGCTGGATCAGTATCATTGCTGAATAAAAGACCTTCGTCGCAAACTTCTTAATTTTTTAATTGTTATATTTCATGCCTAAAAAAAAAAATTTTTGCATGGTATCTCATGTCCTTATCTCACATCTTTGTCTGACCTTTTAAGAATTTCACCTGTTGCAGCTTTTCTGTTTTGTTTTTTTTTTCAATTTTTTTCCTTTTGACGAAAGCCCAAAATTGCAATAAAATGGCCGGATTTTGCCAGTTTGATGCTAAATATATTATTTTTCCTACCTTTAAGGAAATATATACGAAATGTTAAGGTTTTTCGCCGAGGCTTTCATATATCATGCAGTAAAGGGTTAGAGATGGCATTTCTTGAAATTTTTTTCCTTTTCAGAGTCGTGTAAGCAACTTTTTTATTTGTGTTCATCATATGGGACATCAAATTGACCGCCTCATTAACAGTTTGAATTCTTTCGCTCTCCTATCTAAGAGGAAAGAGAAAATCCCAGCCTGTGTTTTGCTCCCAATGATTTCTGTTTTTTTTTGTTTCCCCTTGGAATGCTCGAATTTGTTGACTTGCTTCTCGCCCCGTCCCGTCGAATGGAGACGAAGAAAGAGCTTGAAAGCAAACATCGGAGACGAGCCGCTTCGAGGGACCAACAACGCAAGAATTTGCATTCGAGTCCCGACGGGCGGCCGCATTGATATTTCATACTTTAACTCGGGCTTTGAAGGAAATGGAAATCCTCACGCATAGTCGAGGAAGATTGAATCCCGATGGGACGTTCCGGATCCATGAAAAATCCTCCTGAATCTTATCATTTCCGACGGAAATCCCGCTCCACAAATAGCGTTTCTTTGTTGAGCGTGAAATACTCTTGGGAAGTCATGCACGAAGCTACATTATGATAGTCATGCGGGGTTCGTCTTGGGATTCATGCCTGTCATTCTTGGCGTGAGCTTGACGCAATAATATACTCCATCGCCCTTGTG